GATTGAGCAACTTTGTTGTGCCTTTGACGGAATCGTACAATGTGTTAGCAGTAGGAGCCTTTATATTTGGTCTGTTCGGAGCTTGTTACCTGGTTCTAAACCCAGTCATCGTGTGTGACATTCTAGGCCCCCAAAAAGTATCCTATGGCTTGGGCATTACTTTTTTTGTAATCGCTATCCCTCGGACTTTGGGGCCACTCATCGCCGGATGGATTTATGACGAGTTTCAAAGCTATGCACTCGCTTTCTACACTTTGGGTGGTACGACCTGTCTATCCGCCATTTTGACAGGTATTGTTCCAATTTTGCTTCGCCAAATGGGTAAATATGAAATGGACGGTGAATCCGAAAAGAAAACTCAAGTCGAACCGGTCGTGTACTGTAACAGAATTAGAAACTTCAGTATCTCAAATTGAAAATATATCGACAGCCACTATGATTATCTGAGTTAACTTTGTTCAAAATTATATGTTTACTGTCTTTTCTTATTGTACTTTCTCTTTGATTCTTAACTCCATGGAAATTAATATCGACATTTCCATTGATGAGGATACAATGATTGAACCACATGCGTTGAGCGAATTCTTGTATACAGCTATTTCGAGAAAGGTTGTCGGACAAAGTGCACGCGACAATCCCGAAAGGTATTGTGGGTTGTTTTGAGTTCACTGTTCTTTAACCCATTCGCCCCTGAACTGCCCGTAACCGCCCGTGCGAATCCAGGTCCTTTCTACCCTTTGTGACGTCATCAGTTTTAACGGTCAAGGACAACTTTCTTCGCTAACTTGTGCAGAGTGAAGAGATCTTTCAAACCACACCAGAATGAGCACAATTCAGTCAAGGACACCGGAGAAAGAAGCAAAAAACCACGTGACAAGGACCTGAAAATCTCCATGAAAATCTTGTTCCATTACCCACCTACCTTTCCTTTCACCTAATCCTAAGATCCTAAAAGCTTTCCTAAAAACTCTTCCCACCAAAATGAAGCCTACTAAATGCCCAGCAAGAGAAAAAAAAATGACGCAAGAAAAGCGAAAAAAGAAGGGAGGAGAGAAAGCGAAAAGTCAAAGTCAAGACTGCTGTGTCACTTTTAAACCCAAAAACTCTCAAAATTTTGCTTTCTGCGCATGCCCGAACTTCCCAAGCTGATATTTTGCATCTGGATCAGAAGGCTGCCAAGTGTACGACCTGTAAACCGGTTTGTGGTAAGTTTTAGCTCTTTATAGCACGACAGTGACCAGAAAACCACTCGACTAGCTTCAAAACACGTTTTTGGGCAAAATCTCCAGGAGCGAATGGGTTTTCAAAGCTACAAAAAAAAAGAGGTTCGACAGCTACAGTGTCAAAAACACAGGATCATATCCTTATTACCTTTCGGATTGTCGCTAAACATCCTTTCTCGAAATAGCTGTATACTACTTCATCACTGAACTTCTTTACAACCGACCGCTACCGTGATGTTATTCACAGAGCGGAGGAAAGCATCCGAACTTTGTTTCTACAATGACTGTACAACTTTCAGTTACTTGTATCTAAGTCATAGTTATAGACTGACAACAGTTTCTCAAAATAGCAGGATACTACTTCATGCACGAACGCAGGAGCACCGACCGCTACCGTGATGTTATTGACAGAGCGGGGGAAAGCATCCGAACTTGGTTTCTACAATGAATACCACTTTCAATTACTTGTATCTTAGTCATAGTTATAGCCGTAGGTATAGTTAATATGTAAAATTAGTTTTTATTTAGATTTTTAAGTCGTTAATTTTAAAAAGTTTCCAATCTAAAATTTAGTATTTACTACTTAAATTACATTAAAATGCTGGGAAAACGAAACTGACAACTGAAGGCAGATCGAAGAAGGTGACTCCAAATTGTAAGTAAGACACAACGAGACAGAGAATTTCATCACTGGACCGGGTCAGTTTTGGATATCTGATGAAAAACTCTCTCTTGTTGAATCCTTCATTTTTGTTGCAAAACCGTTTAGTTAGAAAAGTTAGTATATCAAACATTTCACATGGTGTTTTATCACAATAAAAAACGAATAAAAGCTCGCGATGAGTGGTGGAAAATACTGCGTTACGCATCTCCTTTTATTCTCCATTTTTGCAACCTTGCTGTGTTTGGTAAAGTATGAAACACCATGTCGCGTGTTTGATATATTAATTGAAATTTTTAGATGCTTTTGCCTCACTCGTGATTAGTTAAGCTTGAACTGAAAAGCACCTTCAAGGACATGAAATGTTTAAATCTAGAAACCTTTAAAAAATTAGTGTTAGAAATTTTAATTTACGTTTGATAATTTCGCTGGATGGTAGGCCTTGCGTTCCACTGCAATTGTACATTTAAAGCATATAATAAGCCAGATGTGCTTGATAGATTTAATAACATAACTAAAATTTAAATATTAACGGTAATAATTGCTGTTCAAAACCAGTCAACAAAGTTTTTTATGACAAATTTTTTTCTAAAAATCAAACATTTGACAACTTTTTAACATTGCCCTTGTTCAATAAAAATCCAATGAAGAATCATTGCGAACCAATCAAGACCCATGCTGAATTGTTTACGCGAAGTTTTCTGAGATCAATGGATTGCATTTTTACCGTCAGATGGGAGGGGTCTTTTTTTTCAATATTTTTCATTGTAAAAAAAAATTATCACAACTTTGCCGAATTAAAACATCTTTTTTATGAATTAAAGCAAAGGTCAAGGAGTAGTGACGTCACTGGACGGATTGGTTGGTCTGCATCGATTGGAACTATTTTTAAATTACACAGTTAAAACATCTTGATTAGAAAACATGTCAAGAGATTTGTCGATCCAGAAGAACACGTTAGAGCTGACATCACTGTATAATAAGGACACTGAGGCATATCACAGTCGTGTTTCCCCTCTAAAAGATAATTGTAACACAACTTTAATCGGCGAAAATTACGCTCTTATAACAGTAGAATTGCCAGAAATACTAAGACGTTTATCGTGCTCTTACTATTGACGAGTAGTAAATATATTTATTGTTTTAGATTTGAAAGTACTCTAGAACTGTAAATAGGAGGAAATAGAAAAAAGGCTTATCAAAAAACTGTTTCTTGAATGTTTCATTGTGACAGGCAAGCGGCGGAAAATTTGGACTAGTGTTAAGATTCAACTAAAGCATTAATTATAGACTGTTTACAAACTGGGCATAGTATAAAGCTTTAAAAGTCTGCAAAATAGTAAACTACAAAGTATATTGACAAAAATAAGGCGTAGGCCATTGGAAACAACTTCCTGCAATGCTGATCAATTCTACACCGCTGTCCCTGATGCACGGGCGCTTGGCCTGTTTTGACGTCGGAAATACGCTTTCCAAAAAATCGCGATCGAAAATTACTCAAGAGAGAACCGTGTTTTCCGTTATGACGTCTTTTCTACAAACCAAATGACAGTAACAAAGTTAGAACTGTAAGGAAGGGGTTTAATGATGATGCTAATGATGAAAACCATCCTGTAATTTCAGTGTCAGCCTCGAATTTCGTTCCTCAGCCGCTATCTCCCGGGGGCAAAACCCATATAAAAGTGACAGGGATGCTCTTCGTCTCGCTTAGGGGAGGAAATTGCAGATTTCGGTCTTACTAGGGGGGTTTGGGACGGAAGGTCACCTTATTTACCCATTCAGGTATCGCTTAGGGCTGGGCATATCTAAAGAAATTGACGTGACGCTGACCGTACAGAAATCGGCTAACGCTTAAAAACGAACACGACATCCCAGGCATTATACCATTCTATTTAGAAGTCTGTTTTAGTATGGTCCCCTTTAGGGGTCAGTTTAAACATGAGCCACGCCCACATTGGTTTCCCTTGAGGGCTTAATTTTAATTTTCCGGCGAGCATCCCGGGGGGGGGGACTCCGCATATGAAAGGGGCGGGGATGCTTGTCGTCTCGCTTAGGGGTGTAAATTTTGGATTTTGGTCTCACTTAGGGTGTTCTGGGCAAAAAAATATAGAAATATATTTATTTGATATGTATATTTTTAATTCGTTTTATTTACTCCACTCATACAATCCAAGTTTTCTCATTTGTCTGTGTTTTAACATGGTCTCTTTTAGGGGTCAAAAGAAACTTGGGCCACGAAAATATGAGCGCGTGATCTTGGGGAAGGGGGCGGTGGCGGGAATAAGGAAGGAAGTCACCGTTCCTCGTCCCAGTTTCCTCCCGTTTCGCCCTTTCTCAATTTCGCGGACCCGACTATCTCGCAACCTGGAACAGGCTAGTGGTCTTCGGCATTTTGAATGACTGTCTTAAAAAGGGTATACAATTTCACCATTCAAAGTTTTGACCAGGGGTTGAACTTTGGCGATGTGCGGTCTTCATGTGCGGTCTTCGATAACGAGGCCCTTGAAAATGGGCACTTGTCTTAAACAGGGCAACAAAATGAATGCCAATGGTTTTTGTGTTAAAAAGGGTCAGGGCTTGAAAAACTACCACTCAAACTTTCCACCGATTGCCCCTTCGGCCTCCTCCCCTGGGACCCACATCTTTCCAAAAGGAACGCCTAGTACAGCTCCCAACGGTGTCTTAATAGAGGCCGGGTTTTGAATAGGTTTTTCGGGATCCGGGAAGTCCCTTATGAAGCTCGGGATCAGGACACCCGGACCTCCCCCGGGATAGGCATCTTTCCAAGAAGAACGCCTGGAGTACAGCTCCCAACGGTGTCTTACTAGAGGTTCCCCAATAGGTTTTTTAGGATCCGGGATGTCCCTTATGAAGCTCGGGATTCGAAATTTTCTAGCAAAACGGGGGCGGGATTCGGGATTGAAAGTATACACGCGAGGTGGTGCAGTTGAACCTCTCCACACCGGCCACCTTGGGGACAGAAGAAAGTGGCCGACTGTACGTCCAAAATAGCTATCGAAATAACGGAATTGCGCGATCATTTGGGTCGGGATGACGGGACTGAAGAACCCTATCGGAACCCTTTTACTAAATAACTCGAGCAGCAACTCAAAAAA